CCCCCCCCCCCCGCAAAGGAGATAACCTCTTCTCAGCTCCCAGAGACCGCAGCTGCGTGGGAACATGGGCCCAGTGGGTGCGGACTTTGATTGTTGAAAAGCAGCTAGCTGCACATGTGGATTCTTCATGAACGCTCCTGACTTTTAAGCCTAGGCAATGTCTGAAGAAATGAGTTTAAGGTGTCTGAGTTAGAATTACAATCCGCTCCCTCACTGAAGGGGCTTTGCTCAAGGCCAGTCCTCTCGGTAGAGACCAGGAGCCGCAGCCCTGGTCAGTGTTCTTGGTGGAGGATTCCAGGCCTGCAGAGCTGCAAGAGACTCCGGCGGGGGTTGGAGGGGGAATCCCCCGCTCAACAGCAAAGTGCAGGTGCACCCACATCCCCACCCACACGTGCTTTTAGACGCAGGGCCTCTGTGGGGCGTTTGCAGGCAACCCCGATACCAGGCTTTAATGCACCACCCTCCCTCCAAGGGCTGCTTTTCCATGACAATGACAAAAGTGATGATGATGATAAAGACAGGACAATCCTGGGAGCAGCAGCAAACACTTTCTGAGCGCTCAGGGTGAGTGACGACTGAGCTAAGTGGTTTAATTTTAGCAACCCTGAGAAGTGCAACATTATCCCCATTTATAGTTGATGACTCAGGTTCAGAGAGGTTGAGTGACTTGTCCATGGTCACACAGCTTGGTGAGGCGCTCGGTCACATCTCAAACCCAGGTCAACCTGATGTCGAAGACGTTGCTCTCAATTCCCTAATTCTATACCCTTGGATGAGTTACTTAACCTGGGTACCTCCTTGCCATCATGAGTAAAAGGGGGCAACTGCATCAATCACCTGGGGGTGTTTCCAGGTGGCTCATGGAACGCCCATCAATCACCTGGGGGTTACATGAGCCAATATACATGACAGCACTTAGAACAGCGTCCTGCACACAAGCGGCCAAGCGTGATGGCTCTTGCTGTCATCAGCATTATGATAAAGTTCAGTAGCTGCTAATACACTAACCACACCCCAAAGGAATGAATCGGCCCCGCTTTGGAGATTGGACATTGCCCTGTACTTTTCCATATTTTTGTCTGCTATATTTTACTTTAAGTGAAGCCATGCTTTTAATTTCAATTTATTTATTAAGAAACTATCACTACCCTGAATGAGAAACCCATACCACTTGCTCTAATTAATGAAAATGGACATTACTACTAAAATGTTTTCAAGTTGTTTACATGTGCCACCCAGATAACACCATCTCTCCCACCTCAGGGGCTCAGGACCTCTCTGGGGCCAGAGCGAAAGAAGAGCCCCAGTGAGGGATGGAGCTGCATCCCATCACCACAGACCCTCCACACTGACCAGAGGCCCAAGGCTTCTCCTACAGTGCAAACCCCACTGTGGCTCCAACCAACTGCCCTCGGGGAAGGGCTGTCTGGCCCAGCCCTCTCTCTCTCTCCATCCTATCCCGGCTCTGACCACATCTACCTACAGCTCTGCCAAAGTCCCATGGTCTTTCCTAGTCCCAGGCCAGCCACAGCAACCAAAATCCAGCCCGTGGGTTGTTTGCAAATAAAGCTTGCTGGCACCCAGCCATTCCTTTTCCTTTTGCACATCCTCACCTGGCAGAGGTGAGACCTTCCTGGCCACAAAGCCAATGAGATTTATAGCCGGCCCTTTACAGAGAAAGCAGCTGACCCTGTTCTCAGTCCTTGCAAGGGTCCCTCTGCCCGCCAGGACGCTCTCTCCCTCACTCTCTGGCTGGACAATTTCTACTCATCCCTCTACCCCAGCTGGGCTGCCCCAGTCTCCAGCGCACCCACTGCATGGACTCAGCGCCAGGGGTCACCAGGTTTGCTCACCTGCTCACATCCACCTGGGAGGAGAGACCCAGACACATTATCATCACAACCCCAGACCCAACAGCACGTCTCCCCGAGAGAAAAGTCCTTAATACAGATTTGTGATCTCAACAAACCAACTCTGGTCTCGAGAATCCATCCCGAAATCAAGAGCGTGGACAGAAAGCACCTGAGGTTAGAGGGGGCGCTGACGGGAGCAGAAAGTCTGCCAGGGAGGGACGCCAGTGGGAGGCGGGGTGCAGCAGCCCGCAGAAGGGAGGCTCCACGGTCAAGGGCAGTGCTGGGCTGCTAGGACCCCAGGCGGAAGGCAACGCTTCAGCTGGCCGTCAGAATCCCGCCAACCACTGGCCCGAATGAAGTCAGATGGTGGGGGACACAGGGACACAGCGGTGACAAAAGGGTCTCTGCAGGAGAGGCCAGGACTGTCCCAAGGGCCACAGCCCTTCAGACCCCAAACTCCTATCGTGTCTCCAAGCTGGGGTGACACTGAAGAGAGACAGCCATCCCCAGGGAGAGTAGGGCACGCCTCTCGGCAGGTGCCCGCGAAGGCCAGAGGGATGCCGTGGCCGGGGCAGCAGGGGAAAGTGCAGGTGTGAGTGGCGTCTGGGGAAGCAGCAGCAGAGCACAGGTGCCCCCCTCAACCCCCGGCTCTGAAACCAAAGAGCCTACCAGAGAGGCCCCGGCCAGAGAGGCCCGTGCACACGCCCGCATTTCTCAGCCCAACACCGTGGGGACGCAGGACACGTCGCAGCCGCCACGCCGGGCCTGGCAATGTTTGCAGCTGCGGTTCTACGAGCGGGCAGGCCTCCTGCTTGACGGCCAGGTTGCCTGGAAGGTTTCTATGAAAACACTGCTAACAGGTGAGAGCGAGCAGTGGGTAGAGGCTTCACAGCAGTGTTTCTGTGGTGGGTTCGTGCTTTTCTCCCTCTCCATCCCTCCCTCAGCCCCTCTCTCCTCCCCTCCCCCATACCTGACAACTGCCCTGGTCTATTCAACTTAAATCACAAGAACCACCACCACGGCTCCCACCAAGAATCACTCAACGTGGCAGACGCTGCCCTGAGCTCCTCCCACCCTGCAGATAACCCGATACAGGCCATTCTTTTCTCCATCCTGCCCTACTGCCTTGGGGTAGCTAAGATGCTCCCAGAGATCGGCTTCTTTGGAGAGAATTTTCCCGCTCAGAAGTTCGGAGGGAACAAGCAAAGACACCCCGGGAGGAAGGTGGATGGTAAGGGACCTGTGACCATCTGGAAGCACCTTCATCCACTGCTCTGCCAGACTTGGGAAGATGCTGGAGAAACGCTCCAGCGAACATTTGAACTCAACCATGTGGTGGAGCGTGGCAGGGCTCAGAGCCCGGGGCACGGCTGAGCCTCCGAGGACGGTCTTCCACCACGGCTGCTGCCCAGCTCGGGCTGGGGACCTCAGTCGCCACCCAGGCGGATGGCCTCCTGGGAGCAGCTCAAGCCTGGTGTCCAATCAATACCTGCATCGTCTGAAGGGGTGTCCGAGGACAGCGTCTCATCCAGGGAAGCCTGGTCCGTCCCAGTGGCCAAAGGGCTCCCCAGCTGGGCTTCCGCCGAGGTCAGCGGCTCCTGCTTGGGAGTGGAAGGTTCACTCTGTGCAACTCGGGGATCTCCGTCGGGGCTGCACGCTTTGCTCTCAGCGTCTGCAAGGAAATTCAGCTGTCAGCTGAGCCTGACTCCCTTCCTACCTGCTTTCATTCACGCGCGAAGTGACTTCCTGGGAAGTATGCTATCCCAGGCCTGATGTGGTACCCTGCACGCTCTCGCACACCCTGAGGATCCCTTTCCAGAGCCTTCCTAAGGCAGCACTGAGCGTCACAACACCCGCTGGCTTCTGGCCGCACCACTTCCAGCCTGTGCGCTCTTCCTTCGACACCCGTGGGAGACTGGACAATGCCCCCCACCCATGTCCTCGCCTTTGTGGTGCCCCCGACCCTTGGCCTCTGCCTTGTGGCTTGCTTTGGCCAATGGGAAGTGAGCAGGTTTGTTGCAGCAGCGGCTTTAAAAGTACCTGCACATTCCTGCGCGTCTCTCCTGTACCCGGACCTCACCCTGAGGACAGGCCCAGCCAGCCTGCTGGGGATGAAAGATGGTGGGGGGCGGGGGAGCAGAGCCAAGGCGCCCCCATCCTGCCAGCCAAGGCCACCCAGACAGGTGATGACAAGCCTTAATTGCTGCCCATGCCGGAAGTGCTGGGCTGTTACTACCAAGGCTACAAATTACCTTTCACCTCAGCACCCACCATCCTACCATTAGTCCCCCATCACAGAAATGCTTCTCGTTTGTTGGGTCCAGCATTGTGCCAACGCTGTAAAGGCAGAGATTAACAAGACGGTCATTACCCCCCAGGTGGCTCAAACTGTGGGCGGCCACACAGCTGCCCACACGTGGCATTGCCAGTCCAATAGAGGCACAGCCAAGGGCTGAGGCGGGAATCAGAGAGTCCTTGGTCTAGGCAGGTGCCCGTCTCAGAACGGAGGACACCAGGCTCCTAGTAGGGCTGAAAGGAGGAACCGGCACTCCCCTTGCTGGGGCTCAGTGGCTGGAGCCTTTGAGGGTCTGGCCTTTGACTGGTTGATCACCTTGGGTCATATCTTATTGCTGTGGGGCCGGGCGCTCAAGAGCATAACAACTGGTCCAGATCACACAACCACAGAGTGGCAGGTCCAGGCAGAGAGGCTCAGCCAGCCGATCGTACTCAGCCTTCGGAGACGCAGCTCACAGCCCAGTGCATGCAGCACCCACAAAGTCCCTGGCTCAACCCTAGGCCCCACGGCCAGGTCATCCAGGCCGCTGCAGTGCAGCGTGTCAGTGTAGGCTGCACACGCCCACACGGCTGGGAGGCAGCAGTGTGGGGGCACCAGCCTTGCTTGGAGGCAGCGGGGAGAGGAGGAGGAGAGATTTATTTCAGAGCTGGGGGTCCGTTGCTTAAGTCAGTCCTGGTTCCCCCCTGCTGTCAGGTAGCAGTGTCCCTTCCACTGCCCAAAGTGCCCGGGTGGGACAAAAGGTATAAGGTCATCCTCTCTACCCACCCCACCACACGGCACATGGGGTTTCTTGTGCCCAGGCAGCAAATGTCTCCAGGCCTCAATTTCCTCTTCTATAAAATGGGGCTAATACTCCTGGCTTCAGAGAGTCAGAGTGAGAATTCAGTGAGTGAATGTCCATAACGCATCTGGCATGAAGCAAACACCATGCATGTGCTTATAATTACCCTCACTGCTGCTCACAAAGGGGAGGACGACGATGACAAGGGTGATGGTCTGGCCACTCGGCCTGGGCCCCTCGGCCCACGTGGTATCAACAGGGCGCTCCCCACACCCAGGACTCGGGCCAGGCCTGTGACGTGACCCTGTGGGGGACGTGCACTTGTAATCACTGTTCACCATCTTCCGTCTGCTGCACGCCCCCTCGCGGGGAGGGCAGAACGGCCAGAGTCTGGAGACTTGGGTCTTGGAAGATGCCATCTGTGCAGCCATGTCACCTGGACTGGGGGGTAGGTCTAGACCAGGGACCGGCTACCCTTCTCTAGAAAGAAGCAGATGGCCAGTACTTGTATTTTAGACTTTCTGGGCCACATGCCACAGTATCCACGCTCCATATTCATCTTTGTTGTTTATTTTTTACAAAAGTCCTTTAAGTTTAAAACCATTCTTAGCTCTCAAGGGGCTTTACGAAAACAGGCCTTGGGCCAGATCTGACCAGCAGCCAACCAACCTCCACCCAGGAAAAGACCAAGACACAAGCCGAGAGAAGCCACCCAGTGGACACAGTTAGATGCCACCAAGCTCAAAACTACACCTTCTTGGACCCTCTCTCGCGACTGGTTTACTCATACTTGAAACACAGCTGTGACAGTCTCTGCTACCAGCTCACTTGGCTGCTGGTGACAGAGGTGACAGCCAGCACTGACTGAGGCTGTGCACAGCTAGAGACGCAGCACGGCACTCTGCTGGCGCCATCTCACCTGAATGTCACAGCTCCCCGCCCCGGTAGGTGTGGCTACCACCCACCCTTTACAGATGGTGACACTGAATCTTAGAAGGGGCGGGTCATTTGCTGCTCACAACAATCCCTGTTGTTAATAATAACGGCATCTCCATCATTATCATCATCATCATCATCAGTGAAATGGCCAGAACACTGAAACCGCGAGGCCCAAAGGTCCCCACCCTCCACCTGGGCTCAGCAAAGGCTGCACCCGGACGCACAGTCCCGGGATTCCTCCACCTACTTTTACGGCTTAGCGGACTTGCAGGACTTTTCTGGGCTGTGCTCAGAGCTCCGGCTCATAATCATGTTTAGTGAAAAGTCACAGTTCTCAAAATAGCCTGGGCGGCAGGGTCGTTGCTAAGCAATGCTGGCAGGCAGGGCGGGGGAGCTGTGGGCAGCTGGTCCCCTGCTCCTCTCACTATACTGTGGGCGCCCCCTCCCGGCCAGGCGCTTCCGAGGGCGGCAGAGGGGAGCCGGGGCCGGAGGCTGGGTTATATGCAGAGCAGCCACACTGAGAGGGGACATGCCCCAAGCAAACACGCACCCCGCACGCGCACGCCTGCATGCACACGCACGCACGCACGTGCCTGCATGCACACGGACACGCGCGCGCGCGCGCACACACACACACACACACACACACACACACACACACACACACAGCCCCTGGCGCTCCTGCCACACAGAAGCCAGACAGACTTGACTCGCCACTGCCAACTGCCCTGAGGACAGGGACCTCGTGTCTTTCAGGTCACGGAACACAGCACCGTGGTAACAGCCACCTCCTCCTTACATCCAGTGATAGAGAATGAAAGTCCTCAAACTATTAAGACAAAGCCAAGCAGACACATTCAGGAGGATGGAGTAAAATCGCTCAGGGCACACACGGCGTCTGGACAGAGAAGTGGGCCAGCTCCTGTCCTCACTCATCGTATGTGGGCCAGGGACCCGGTGCAGGGGCTGGGACACCAGCCTGCCCTCGCCTGTCACAGATGTGTCGCTGGTCAAAGCTGTGAAGTTGGAGTGGGAGGAAAAGGTCAGCTCCCGGTCCCTCATGCAGACCTGGTCGCATCTCACACAACTTCTAACCATACTAATAGGGTCCTTCCTCGATCCGGCAGATTCCCAGACCTTCAGGAACCAAGGATAGGTCAGAGGGGTTCATGAAACGCATGTGTTCACAGTATCACAAAATAACAACCCCCCCGGAGAGCGGGGAGGGCAACCCCATGCCCTGGACACGGGCTCACCTCCAGGACGTGCAGGCTCTCTCCTGCAGGCCCGTCCACAGCCAGCTCACGCTGCTACGCTCCTGATCGCTTTGTGGGCAGACTCCAGGGGGCTGACCCAGGGGCGTGTCCATGTGCACGCGTGTGCACACCTGTGCAGGGCAGAGGACCTTCCTGGGTTCGGCCTGGCCTAGGACGTTCAAGTGTGAGTTCCTGAGGCTGCTAAGAACTGCAGGCAGCTCTGGGAGGGTCTGTGGCCCCAGCCTGTGGGGGGGCCTCTCTGGGCCCTTCGGTCACTGTCGGAGGCTCACTCAGCCCCCCAGGTGCCCCCTGGGTGTGAAGTCCAGGCTCAGTGTGGGGTAGGGGGCAGCCAACCACAGGGGGGCGCTCCTGGCTACAAAGCTGGCCAGCCGAGCTGGGCGCAGGTGGTGGCGATGAGGATGATTCCTGAATCCAAGCCGGGGGCCATCTCTGAAGGGGGAGGGGGCGGTTCAACTCCCGGGGCCACGGATCAACCCAGCAGGAACCCTGCTGTCCTACCTCCAGGACAAATTCGGGACCGACAGAGGCTGACCTAGAGCTCGACTTCACCCCAGTGAGAAAAGGCATTTTCTCAGCAAGTGCAGGACGGAAACAATCGCTCCAAGAGGTATGCACCCCAGGAGCCCGTTGGCAAACACTCTCACATCTCCCCTTACCCCTGTGTGTCCATTAGAGGTAATACAGTTAAGAGTTTAAGGGAGATGAGTGGGTGGTGAGCCCACACCCCTGCCCCCTCCCCCAGACCCGGTCCCTTCCCAGGGGCAATGCCTGCTGCCCTGCTTCTAACACGCACTCCCCAGCGACAGCCCCGCAGGCTCACTGCAGACTCAGCCCACCTGCCCCGTGGCTGCCCGGGGTGCCACGGCCACAGGGGTGCCTGTCACCCAGCCGCCTACTGGGGAGTCGAATTCTCTCCATTCCGTCCATGCTGCAGGGAGAGGCAGGGAGGACGCAAGTCCCTGTCAGGACCCCCGCCCCTTTCTCACCTCCCCTAACCCGCACCCACCTTCTCTTTCCTCCTCCTCGGGGTGCCTGCTCCCTCCCCCCACGGGGTCCGGTGCGGGCTGCTCCACTGGGCTGGAAGACGCTCCCCCGTCTCCCATCGCTCTCTGCTTCTCATCCTGGGTGGCACCAACGTTGGAAGCAGCTGGGGAGGCTTATAAACTGCGGACGCCTAGGTCCCACCCCCAGCGCCTCTGATTAAGGAGCTCGCCAGGTGACCCTAATTGCTGCAAGTTCTGAGAAGCAGCCTGTTGACTCCTGCTATTAGACCCACTCCACCAACACCTCCCCCAGCCCCGGACCAGGTCAGGGGCCCAACTCACGTTCCTCAGGTTCTACGTGCTTTCCTTCACCATACTCAGCTCAGCTGTGATTTTGTATTGATTTGTGGGATTATCTAATGTTTGTTCCCCACTGGACTGTGAGTTCTGGGAGAAAGGTATTTTGCTCACCTGTATCCTCGGCAGCTAACACAGACCCTGGCCCATAGCAGGTGCTCAGTAAAATGGTGTGGCGTCAGTTAATGGGCGTATTGTCAATTCTTGAGCAAAGAGACTGTGTTTCAGGCCCCTCCAGTTCCTGGTCCACAATCACTTAGCCAGAGAGAAAGAGTGATCTAAAGTCAGGGTTGGCAAACTAGGCCCTGGGGGCCACATCTAGCCCACCGTCTGTTCCACAGATCCCCGAGCTACGAAGGGATTTTACCTCTTTAAATGGCTGAAAAGGAAAAATAATACTTGATGGCACATGGAAGTTATATGAAATTCAAATTTCAATGTCCCTAAATAAAGTGTTACCAGCACCCAGCCAAACCCACAACTTTGTGTAGTGTCTGGGGCTGCTTTTGCCTGATAACAGCAGGGGTAAGTATGGACCTCACAGCCTAAAATATCTACTGTCTGACTCTCTACAGAAAAGGCTCGCTGACCCCAATCTAAAGCAGTACTGCAGGTGGGCCGGCATGAGATTTCCCCGCCAAACACAGAAGCCAGGAGAGCTGGCCCCTGAGCACGTCAGTCACGGGCTCACCCCATCAACTCGGCGGCTGGCTCTCTGTACTGAGGCCCCCAGACAAAATCGTCTTAAAAAGATTCAGAGTTTAGGAAAGGAAAAACCGCACTTCTCCTGGAAGTTTTTCCCTTTAATGATTCACCTATCACTTTATCTTTGATGGGAATCAAATCCATGTTTTCCTTCATCAGCGATAATATTTTTAAAAACAGATGATAAACAGACCTTCATATTGTTTTCATTTTCCCTCCTCCCGCCCCAAGAGTTAAGGTAAGTTTTGTTGGCAACATATTCAAAATGCCAGAGTTTGGAGCTTTTTGGTTCCATCCAAATCCAAACAGTCCAGATCTCCATCTCAGCAATGACATTCTCCCAAATCTGAGTCAGACTGGAGCGTCTAACATCTGAACGTCACAGGACTTGATACCAAGTTTTTTTTACAGGCAAAGTTTGATTATTAGCACTAAGCAATTTCCCACGTATGTTTCTCCTGAAAACAGCATCATCATCAAAGAGGAATGACTACAAGGGCCCTACCGGACGCAGAGCACGTTATAAATCCAGATTCACGGACTCCATAGGCTCCCTTTCTACTTCCTGATACCTGGGCCAAATTACAAAGACACCAATAATATTTTAAGGCTAAAATGGAGACAGGAATACCATTTATTCATGTGAGCCTCACAGAATTGGCTCTGTGAGGCCAGGTTCTTTCAGTCAGGAGGCAAGCGCTTGGTCCAGCTCCAGAGAGACCTGCAGGCAGCAGTGAGGTTGTCTGAGACCCCACCACCCCTGCCAAGCTTTAGGGTCTCAGAGAACTAGAAAGCATGAAAGTCTAGCGTCAGGACCCAAGTCCTGTGCCTCACGCCATCACCAAGGGAGGAAGATGGGGGAACCCAAGAATCCTTAAATTAATTGTGCGAGTGATAAAACCTGGTGCTTCTCAGAGATGCAAACAAGGGCGGCTTCACAGACACCACGGTGATGAAGGTTTCTGGACCAGATTCTGAACAGCAACCGGGCCCTCTGGCTGCGTGACACAGGGCACCTACCTCCCAGACCCTCCCATTGCTCACCTGGAGACCGGGGGCTAACACCACACCCAGTCACAAGGATGCTGTGAGGACAAAAGGTTGAAGGCGAGTAGAACGCCCAGCAGAGCACCCAGCATATAATCGATCCTTGATAAACGGTAGCTGTAACACTAGGTGGTCATGGGGAACAAATAACTCACCCGAATCCAGGATTAAACTCTGAATATGAAAAAACAAAAAAATCAGGACTAGCCACTAGCTTCACCCACACCCAGCTCGGGCGGGAAGCAACCCCTCATCCCCAGGGCAGGTGGCTGCACTCAGCTCCACGCCCCATGAGCAGCCAACTCTTAGACTCACCGATGGGTCCTCAGAGGCCCAGGGGCTGAGCCGTGGGTCCTCATTGGACCCACGGAGGCCTCATTCAGGTCCAGGAGCCACAGCTGGACACCCGACTCCTCTGACTTCCACGCCACCCTGATGGACTTGCTGGACCCCCGTGAGACCCCCAGCTCAGCATTCCTGGGCCCAGCCCTGCCCGGCCCGGGGTGGCCCACTTACCCTGCTCCATCAGCTCCAGGAGCCCCTTCCTGACGAGGTCCTCCCGACCTTGCCTGCTGGCCATCTTCTCGAAGGCTGCACACAACACAGACATCCAGGTGAGTCACGGGCAGAGCGCCGCAGGGCCCCGCCCGAGCCCGGCCAGTGCCACCTCCAGTGTAGGAAGACAGCAGAGAGGCAGCAGGTGACCGTGGGTTAGGGGTCCCCAGGTGGGGGTGTGGTTCAGGAACCCGAGCTCCCCCCTAAGCCATGTGCTGAGCAGGGCAGAAGAGAGGTGCCGTGAGCACTGTTTAAGGCAGTGGCTTCCATGGCTCATCTGAGAAGCGATGCCCCGTGTACCACCGTCTCTAGGCTCCCATTCCCACCCTCCGCCGACTACGCCTTCATTTTCCAGCCCAGGACCTTGTCCCCCAAATACCCTGGGGTGCTTTTCTGTGGTTCTGTTTTCACCTGCTAAATACATCCTGACCGCCCTTCTGTCTGTTCACAGACCAGTCTTCTGCCCAACTGTCCCACCAGAGGCTCCTCCGATGAGCCCCACATTCATGCTTTCAAAGAATGTGCCAGTAGGGACTTCCCTTAAGAATCCGCCTGCCAAGGCAGGGGACACGTGTTCGAGCCCTGGTCCGGGAAGATCCCACATGCCGCGGAGCAGCTAAGCCCGTGCGCCACGACTACTGAGCCTGCGCTCTAGAGCCCGCGAGCCACAACCACTGAAGCCCACGTGCCACAACTACTGAAGCCCGATGCCTAGAGCCCGTGCTCCACAGCAAGAGAAGCTGCCGCGACGAGAAGACCGCGTACCGCCATGAAGAGTAGCCCCCGCTCGCTGCAACTGAAGAAAGCCCATGTGCAGACAATGAAGACCCAATGCAGCCAATAAATAAATAATTTTCCTTTAAAATAAAAAGAAAGAAAGAAAGAATAGCTTTAAAAAAAAAAAAAAAAAAAAAAAGAATGTGCCAATCGAACAGGAAGGAGGTGGCCGGGCCCCGATCCCCCTCCACCGAGCCCAACTTGCGGAAGGAACCTCGTCAATTCCTCCTTTGGAACAGCCCTACCGGCCCCCTCATCCCAGGGCAAACCCTCCAGCCGCTGCCCCCGCCTCTCCCCTCGCAGGGGCCCGTCTCACTCTGCTCTCCTGTTTCCCCCTAACCGTCCAGAAAACGACTTGCCTGCAGTAGAATCCAATTTCCAAACACGAACCCATGCCACCCCTCAGACCCTCTCTTTAAAAGATAGGGACAAAGTACCGGCTATAAGCCTGGATCACAAAAGGGCCCTGGGTCACCCACACGTATGAATGCCCTGCCCCACGTGGGAATGAAACAGCCACTCGAGTAGCAGAGCTTAAAGTCTAGTGGCCAATGACGAACAGGCAGTGACCATGAAGTTGTTTATTAAAAGATATTTACTGAGCACCTACTGTGTGCCAGGCACAGGGGAGCAAGACAGGCATGGACTCTGCCTGAGAGCCAGGGCTTTGGGACAGATGGCAAACATCTGGGTGAGTGGCATCGACCAGAATCTGAGAGCACGGGGGCAGGGCTTCTGGGGAAACACGGCTGCTTCCCTGAGTGTGTTTACGCTGAGGGATGGATACAGAAAACCCAAACATACCGGGGAAGAGACATCTGGGGGCAAAGGGAACATAATTTCCTTTCTGAGTCCAATTTCCAATCCAATTGCCAGGTGCCAGCAGTGTGGATAAAACTGAGAAACGGAACTCTGGCGTTGGGAGGTGCAAGCAAAGAGGCTGCCACCCAGTCCAAAAACAAGAGGCGAGCAGGACGAGGGTGAAGGTCTCCAGAAGGGAGGGACCGCGCTGTCTGACCAGTGCTGGGTGGCAGCCTTGGTGGCACCCTGCTCAGATGCACTGACTTGTGAGTCCTCCCAATGACCTGAAGAGGCAATTGCCAGGGGCTGCTGTCTGCAACTCAGGATACCTGTCCCCATGGCCCAAGCTACCCGCCCCCCCCTCCCAGAGCAGGTACGGGCTCAGATGCCACTTCCCAGACTTCAGGCTTCCGAGAGCCACCTTCATGGCGTCACCCAGTCCCCACTCTCCCCAGACCACTGTCTGCATTGTTTTTTTTTTCCTCTCTCTAAATCATCTTTATTTTTACTTCATCTCATCCTAACCAAGGATGCCTGTGAAAACGGGGATTGGATAGGCTGAAATAAATAACATCCCACACTTTGGGGGGAAAGAATGGTTTAGCACAAATAAATGAAATGCAGTGCTATCTGCAGAATTCCAAATGCTTGATAAAGGGCCCAACGGGGATGCCTGCCCCAAGGCAGGGATGCTACAGGTCTTAACCTGGAGACCCTCAGTCCCCCGGCAGGGCCCGCACAGCATCCTGAAAAACTCACAGGTTGCTCCCCGCAGCCCAGTGCCAAGTGGGCCAGGGACACAGGGTCCTGAGAGCACCCAGCTCACCCTCCAACCCCACGGCCCAGAGAGCATCAGGGGCTCCCCGAGGTCACAGAGGTCACCCTGCTCTGGCCCCCTAAGCCTTTCACTGATGCCCGGGCGAGGCTTTCCCAACTCGGTGCGTTTGCACAGCTGTTCCCCCAGCTGCGATGCTCTTCCCTGCTTTCCTCCAGGGGGCCGATTATGCCTCAGCTCACTGTCACCTCCTCACCTGGGTCTTCTCAGGCCACTCAGCCCAGGGCAACGCCCACCCCCCACCTCCCCCTCAGCACCACCAAGGTCGTGACTGTCACACGTGCTTGTCTGTCGCCTGACCCCCCAGTTGGCGGAAAGCTCTAAGCGGCCAGGGTCTGGGTCTCCCTGTCTACTTTGTGCCTGGCACACAGGAGCCACACAATGTTCATCGAATATCGACGTTTGTTCTGCTTTCATCCTTGACAAGGAGAATCTGTCCATCAACTTCTTGGGTAGTTAAAACAATAAGTTTGTAAATTGTATAGAAAGTGTGGGTGGAAGCACCGCCCCCGCCCCCCGCAGCTGTTAGGAGCCCCCCCCCCGGCCCCCCCACTGGCTTTGCCTCTGCCAGCCCCTGAGCCCGGGAGTCTGCACCCCTTCAAGGCTGGGACCACAGGGACCGCCAGAGGCAGCAGCCCAAGACGGGCACTTAGCAGGCGGGTCCCCGAGGCCCAAGACTAACTCCACACTGAGCAGCTCCCTCACTGACTGTTTCCAGCAGCAGCTAACAGGCCTGCGGGAGCTGAGATGCTGTCTCCCCTGGGGTCTGCTTCTCAGGGCACCGACCTCCGCTTCACCGACGGCACCCTATCGCCCAGGAACCAGACCCGAGCCCGGCTGCCAGGGCTCCAACCCCAAGCCCACAACCTGCTGCTGCCTGGCCCTGGGAGCGGCTGCCCATCTGATCCCGCTTCCCGTTCCTGACATGGGCAGAAGCGCTGTGATACGTGGGCTTCTGAGCATGTAGTTGTTAGAAACGTGCTGTGTCGCTTTGACTCTTATGGCCAGTTTTGTTGTCGTCACCACGTGCATCCCCTGGGCCAGTCTCATGGCCAGAGCTCCTGGCTTGGAGTTCGAGGGGGCGGGGGCAGCGGTCCAGCCTCTCGTAACCCAGCTTCCCACAGAGCTGAAGGTGAGGGAGGGGAGCTCTGGGGTCCTTTAGTGGGAGGGCATCCGGACAGGGCTGCCCAGGTAGGAGCTGCCTCTTCAGGAGAAGCTTAGGAGCCGGTGAGCATCGGTATCGAGGCCAAACTGAGGCCCCGACCCTCTGAGTGAATCCCCCAGGGGGCTCTTGGGGACGGTGGGACCCAGGCCCCGGGGTTGTCACAGTGAGGGTCCAGGTGCAGGAGGGCTGGGTGCTCCCCACTCCGGTGTGGTCAGGAAGGAGAGATGGTTACAAGCCAGGCCTCAGCTCCAGCCTGGCCTCGCACTGACCTTGAGTCTGCATTTTTAACTAGGTCGAGGGTGACGTGTGTGCCCCTTAGGGTCTGGGCGTGAGTGGGCTTCGGGTGGGACCTGGAGCTGCCTCCCCCCCACCCCCGCCCCCACCAGGGACCTGGAAGGGCCGGTGGAGAGAGGGGACCCGCAGGAGGTTGAACAACTCCTGGCCGTCACAGGCCACAGAGCACAGCCTGCCCCTCCCAACACCAGCAACAGAAAGCGCGGTGACGGTGACGCCAGGCCCCCTCTCCCTGGTGCTCACCGGACGTCGTCTGCTTCAATTTTTCATTTTTCTTTTTCCTCCATTTCCAGGGTTTGAAGATTCTGCCCAGGGTGGCCAGTTTGCTGTTTCTCCTCACGGGGGGAGTTCGAATCCCTGAGAGCAGATATTCAGAGCGCACTGCGGGGGTTTGGTCCATCTCATCTGGAAGGCGAAAACCCAGTGAGGGGGTCAGTGATGACCAAGCCCACACGACAGCCTGGGGGGCCCGAGGTGACTCCCCTCCTCCCTGGGGCCACCAGTGATCCTCCAAAGCCTGGGGCTCAAGAGGGTGGGCCAGGCGATGGAGACGGGGCTTGTTCCATCATGTACCAGCCCACGTTCAGTCGGGTTAATTCACCTCATGCTGCCTGTGAGAAGGGGCAGAGCGTATCCAGAACCAAGAAGCCCTAGAGAGACCCAAAGATGCAGGAACAGCAGGGCTGGAGAGAGCGAGGACCAGGCCAGGGGAGGCCACCAGCAGTCAGAGGGGCCAGGACCTGGGATGGGCCGGTCATCAAAAAAGCCAGCCCAACGCCCCATGGGACGGGCGTCCCAGGGACGGGCAGCCCCAGCCGGCAGCCTCCAGAACAACCCCTGAGGTTTGACTTCCAGAGGGCTGTGCCCGTCAGCAGCCCAAGCCACTCAGCCCCTCTGAGCCTCAGTTTCCACATCTGGAAAATAAAGTTAATCATCATCCCTGATACCTAGGGTTGAGAGGAAAATTCTGTGTGACCATACGGTGGCCAGGACGTCTGGAAACACAGGTAGACCCACATAATACACAGTTTATTGATAGCATGTTACAATCCATGTGAAGTAACATTATCTATGTTTTGAAACTGTCTACCCACTCTAATTAACATGCCGTGCCAGCACGGGTGACTCTCAGTAGAAATTTTCATAATAATTTATATTGTATAAGTAATACAATAATTACTATGGAGCAAAAGTTAGTCACTACTTGTTCTGGGCCGAGTGCTATCATATTTTACCCCCATAGTAAATCTATGAGGTGGAGACTGTTATTATATCCATTTCACAAATGGGTACACTGAGGCTCGGAGCCACAAGCCATTCTGTTAGCTGTCAGAGCGAAGGGATGATGGCCTCGGGCAGCCTGACTCCAGAGGCCCCTCTCGTATCTCTAAGCTGCTTCTAGGGTGACGATATAACTTTATCACCCAAAGCAGGACACACATGGATGCAACACAACAGGACGCACAAACCAAGACCGTCCCAGCCAACCACTCTCTCCAGTTGTCTTTTTTTTCCATACAGCATATGCAGGATCTTAGTTCCCCAACCAGGGATCAAACCCACGACCCCTGCAGTGGAAGCACACAGTCTTAACCACTGGACCGCCAGGGAAGTCCCTGTCTACAGCTGTTATTTAATTGAGTGTTAAGTGTACACCAGAGGCTGGGTCTGCAGGGGGTCCACAAAGAAACTTCGTGTGGACAGACAGCCCAGGGGTCTCGTTGGAGGACTTCTCCCTGCAGACTTAGCAAACTAGCCAGGCTCCTAAGCCAATGACATTTTCCACCTGGTGTTCAGCTATAACCCCAGTGCCCGGCGCCTAGTAGGGGCCCAGGAAGTTCGGGTGGGGTAGTAAGTGAGCCAGGGCAGTCTAAGGACCGGTCACGACCCCCAGCGCCGCACTCCAGGCGTGCAGGATGCAGATGGTCCTTCTCTCCTCAAGAGGCAGTTTATTGCATGTTGTTATCCTCTCCTTTCCTTCCTCCGCCCACGGATGCCAGATGGGAGTGGAACCGCCAGTGCCATGTGGCCCCAGCAAAGCTGACTGTCCTGGAGGCATTTTTGGCACAAAGGAGAAAGAAATGGCCTGGTCTCCCCAAGCTTCCAGGCTGGTTTGAAGATAAAGACGAAGATCCCCAGAGATACGCACATAGATGAGGAAGAATTGTCATCGCTTCATTTATATCTCATCTCACTCCACAAAGGATGGGCAGCCATTATCAGAAACACACACCCAACAAGACAAATGAGTGTCCGAGGAAATCCAGAGGAAGGGGAGTCTGGACAGAGCCACCGCATCAGGGGTTAGAGACACCACGTGTGGCTCTGAGCTTCCTGGCAGCCAAAGCAAAAAGGAGCAGCACATAGAATAAACTACAAATCAGACCCCAAACCTCACTCCATCTGCCACCTGTATCACTGTGACTTTAGTCCAGGCCACCAGCATCTCTACCCCAGATGCTCACACAAGCCTTCTAACTGGTGTCCCCGTGAACCCCTATAAATGTAAGTCTCATCGTATCGCTTTCCTGCTTACTCCCTGTGGCCTCCCTTCTCATTTAGGACAAAATTGCCAAGGCTGTAAAGGTCTCCGAAATCTGCTCCCAAGCCCCTCCCACCTCACCCCTGCCCACTAGCCTCCTGTTCCATTTTATCAGCAGCATTACTGCGCATTAGCATCTATGGCATGCTATGGAAACCAGAATGTCGTAACTGTTAGGATGCAGGTGCCAGAAGCAGGGATCTGGGCTCACACCCTGGCTCTGTCACTCACTACCTGGGGCTGAAGTGTTGACACCACTGTCCTCCTCCCTCCCTACATTTTCACCTTTACCCCGGCCTTGCTGGGGGAATAGGGGGTACAGGGGACTTCCCAAGTCCTTACCTGGGGGCTCACCATGTGGCTTGCTTGAACCAATGGGAGGTGGGCAGAAGGGACACTGTGGCCCCTTCCTCAACACCCCTTCCCCCCTCCCTCCACCATCACTATTTTATTTATTTATTTATTTATTTATTTTTTGTGGTATGTGGGCCTCTCACTGCTGAGGCCTCTCCCGTTGCGGAGCACAGGCTCCGGACGCGCAGGCTCGGCGGCCATGGCTCACGGGCCCAGCCGCTCCGCGGCATGTGGGATCCTCCTGGACCGGGGCACGAACCAGTGTCCCCTGCATCGGCAGGCGGACTCTCAACCACTGCGCCACCAGGGAAGCCCCCACCATCACTATTTTAATACATTGCCTCCCTGCTCCCTCCCCACAGTGGCTGGAGCAGGTACTGTGGTTCCCACCTCACTTCTGATACACTTGGGTCCTCACCACACAGCCTGGGGCACAGGCAGGGCATGCTGACCACTGAACAGACTGCACACCACTCTCCCCTTGAGAATTCATTCACTCATCCATTCACTCATTCATTCATCTATTCAACAAAAACTTATTGACACCAGCCATGTGCCGGAATTGCGCCAGAAGGAGAATGTGCAGAGCTGAACAGAAAGAATCCCTGCCCCTGTGGGGCTTCTAGTGGCCAGCGGGAGATGGGCAACGGGAGGGCGACTATTAAGAAACCAGGCCTGCTCGCCCCATAGTTAGTTCCCTGCTGCCTTCCTCTCCTTATCTTTCCCCATCACATTCATCACCTGGTGTGTGTGTGTATGTCTGCGTGCGCACACGCAGACACGCACACACACAGACCCACACGCAGACGCACAGCTATTTGTTTGCCTTTTGCTCAGTCACCTCCCTAATTTGACAGCAGGGTCTGCCTTTGATGGTTGGTTTGCAGCTGAATCCCTGGTGCCCAGAACACATAAGGTAGGAACCCATGTGGTAAAGGAGATCCTTCCAGACATGAGGACGGATGGACAGAACCCAGCATCTGCTCAGGGAGCTGGGGGAGACGCGGGGGCTGACTGGCAACAGAGCGTTATGAAAGGCTGCTCTGAGCGGGGTTACTGGAGCTTCTGCTCCAGCCTGGGTGAAAGGGAGCCAGCAGTGTAGATGGGAGCGGGGGCAGGGAACAGGGTCCCAGGCAGAGGAAGAGCGAGGTCGAGGGCTTGGAGGAAGAACGCAGGGTATCAGGGCCATGGATGCAGCTGGGGAGGCACGCAGGGGCTTGAACCTGATTCAAAATTCAGCAGGAG